TTCGCCAATCTTTTTCTGAGTTCTTGCACCCATAGCAGAAAAAATGAAATGTTTGCAAGAACAAATGAGAGAAGGAAATCATAGGTGATTCAGTATATTTTTATTTGCATTGATGACAATGATAATAGATAACTTTTGTTGAACACTGCCTTCTACACTTGAATTACATTATTTAATTCACTCTCACACATGCATAGCCAACAAGATGCATTTTTTCTTAAGTGCATTGAAAAGAAGAGGAGACTGAGGCACAGAAACGTGAAGTAATTTTCCCCAAGTATCATAGCAGGAAGGTGATATAGTTGAGTTTAAATTCAGGTAATTGGATTCCAAAGCCCTAGCAGGTGATTAACCTAAGAGGTAATGGATTAAATTAAAAGCCTTTAGAAGCAATTAAAATTTTCTTTTTATTGCAACCCAACTTGGCTATTGCCTGAAGGAATGGGGAGGGCACTTTTGGAATTCACATGATTCTCTTGTATGTTAATCATCCAATCTGTAAGTATTTTAGGGGCCGTGAGTACATATCTTGGGTTAATCCCATTGGAATATAAAAAGAAACATTAGACTCTTGACGTTAGAAAAGTTAGTATGCATCCTATTGACTACTTGCACATGATACCAATAGTTTATTGGTAGTCATTTCTCATTTTGCTAAGACAAAATATTGAATCCCACACCATGGAGGCTGGTATAGTAGCATGACTCTTGCTAGTGAGTAAGTGAGCCTAAATTTCTACCCAGTCTCAGTTCAGCTTGGCGACTGTTCTCTACTCAACATTCCGTATTCAGTAACTTTCAAAAATAGTTGGAAGATGTTACTTAAATTTTTCAGTTATGCTTTTCTTAATTTATGGGAAGGATTTTATGTATAATTATGCTATGAATCTTGTGACTTTTGAAGGCCCTGGAACTATGTCCCTTGGGAATGTAAAATCTCTGAAACAGAGTGTTTGCTCCTGTCCTTGGGTTGGTTATGATCTGGTTTGACGGGTCGAGTCTGCCAGTCATTCATGCATTCATCAACCAGATTTGGAGGACATAACATATTACAGCATTGTCTGGAAAAACATATGTATAAATAGTTAAGGATGGTATCTAATTTAAATGCTGTAGGAGTTCTTTGCAGAGTTAAGCAGTAAAGGGAAAACTAATATGTAAGATACATCAAATAAGCTATGTGTGGAGGTTCTATTTTGAATTCCCAGTTCTTTAGATCTGAAGTATTCCTCTCCGTGTTTGTGGTCAATTTTTCAGCTATTTAAGTATACACGTCCATAATTACTCATGGCAGGTTTCTATTCTAAGCCTCTTCTACAAGATTTCCTTGGCAAGGTGAAAGTTGATTTTATTCAATATATCAGTTAGTTTTTATTTTATTTACTGATATTAAAGAAGAGATTCAGGGGCCGACCGGTGCGGAGGCCCAGAGTTCGCCAGTTCGGATCCCGGGCGCGCACCCACGCACTGCTTGGCAAGCCATGCTGTGGCGGCGTCCCATATAAAGTGGAGGAAGATGGGCATGGATGTTAGCCCAGGGCCAGTCTTCCTCAGCAGAAAAAGAGGATGATTGGCAGATGTTAGCACAGAGCTGGTCTCCTCACACACACACAAAAAAGAAGAGATTCAGAGGTGGCTTTTTCCCCCAGGATTTTCATGAGAACCTAGAGAAATTAAATTTAAAAATCACGGAACTGGAAGAGAGATAATTGCTAAGGGTTTCGCCTTTTCTAAATATTTTTGTGCAAAATATGTCAAAAATATTTTTAAGTTCCAAAGGTATTGAGTGCTGGTGAAAGCAGACTTCACCTCTAAAACTCTTAGTTATAAATGGCACAACAACTCTGGGAAGACCCTTGAGCCTTTGATTTTTGGTTGGTGTGCAACTGGGAAAAATATTGGATCCTATAATCTATGTACTACTGCTCTCAGCCAATGAGCAGAGAGCCTTACTTCTGGTTATACGTGATGGACTTTGTAGGCACTGGGTGTGAGGTTCATTAGTCATTTGGACTAATGAGGATGAGTTTTTAAAACTTTACCAAATAAAATATTTCATCTGGATGAATACTGGAAGCTTCCGTTCACATGGCTACAGTTTCCCAGTCTTCAGCTGGCATGGAAGCACTGACTCCAACAGCTCCAGAACAGAAACAAATACCCCATAAATCACTTAAATGCCAAGTTGTTGGCTCAGTGTTACACTGAATTCCTCTGCATTGGGAATTCCCAAGTTATGAAGTATCAACAGCCAGCTATCATTTTATTTGTCCTAAAATAACTTTCGTAGCTTTCAATATGAATGAATTTTAAATAAATACATTCTGGTATATGATATGTAGGTGACTTTGTAAGGACCACAAGCTTGTAGGGGGAAAAATACTATTTTCATTTATGTGCTCAGTGCTTGTCCTTGTAAGTTCTTAAAGAGGAGACTGAATGATTTTTGAGGGCTTGTCGCTTGTGGGTATTCTCTCAAAATGTGTCCCTTGGTGGATTAAGTGTCAAATCAATCTCTAGCTTCTCCAGTGCAATATGAATATTGGATTCCTTGTTGCCACATAAACCGTGCACCTCACATCCTTTAGCATGCCGTTAGCTACGTCAAATATTTTCTAGTTCCTAGGCTATAGTTCCTGTACGCAAACTCATTCATTGGTTTGATGCGGTTTTGCAAGTTTTTTCTGCTACACAGGGCTAGAAGTGGCAGATCTTAGAATGGCTCAGTGTTTGAATCTTTTTATGTTCTTTTCTTAAAGAACCATATTCACACCATAAAAAAGCTTTATAGACTCACCTCTTGGAGATTTTTTGTCCCAGCAAATCCTCTTTTTTAATATTTTGGCTGACATAATTTACTCATTGTGATTATCTGAAAATATTGATAAAATGACAAAGTCCCTCAAGATCCTACTACTTATTTTGGAATTATGTAAAATAAGAAGTAAATGATTATGCATCAGTCACCTTCCTCAAAGGTAATTACTATTAATTGGATGCATGTTCTTCTTGAATTTTTTCTAAATTAACATTGTATAAATAAATATTCATATTTATAGGCAATATAATTTTATATATGTCCATTTATATTGTGTGTGTATATATATACACATACACACACCAGTATATGTATATGCACACATCATAAAATGAAATTGTGGTGTATATATATATGTTTGCAAATTATTTGCTCCTGCTTAACAGTATATACCAAACATCTTTATGGTTCAGTGCATACACATTTATCTTATTCTTTTTAAATGATTGCATAGAGTTCCATTGTATTTGTATACTATATATTATTCCGCCAGCCCTCTCTTGACATATTCTTATTTCTATTTTTTTTCTGTTCCATCACTGTTGCAACATATATAGTTGTACGTATATTTTAACTACTAATGCTATTATATCTGTAGGATATATTCTTAGAAGTGAGTTGCTGGATTTAAGGATATATGTATTTTAGTTTTAATAAATACTGACTAATTGACGTTCATGAATATTTTATAAAGGAGACACTATACTATGCTATTTCTGATTGTTTTTACAATTCATATAGGAAAGCATTTCTTTGAAGAACATTGCTTACCAAATTGGTTAAGGGGGTATTGCTATATAGGGAACTCTGTATATGATTTATATATCTATAGTGCCTAAAGTATATATCTATATAAGTATTTGTGGATTCATGCAAAAATTGTGATTATGTCTATCCTACATCAAATTCAGTCAGCAACAAAGAGATGGATCTTTGCGATTGGACAGACACAGCCTTTAAGTGATGTAGCAGCTGGATGTTTTACTTTCGTGGCCATAAAATTCTTGGACATGAAGAAATCTAGTAACAGTTTGATATTAGCAGGACTTCACCAATCCACTAAGGCCACCATTTCATTGTTTATAAACATCTGTGTAAATAAACTCAATAATCGACGACATTTTGTTTGTATTCGCGGGTTCACAGTGAATAGAGGAAACATCCTATCTATGAATGAAATCACAAAGTTCTTCTCTCTTGATCCTTTTGCTCTCTCAGGCAAAGCTCTGTGTAGCCCACATCATCCAAATACTCAGCGCAGTCTTTCGCATCACATAGAATCATATTCTATGACTTCATGGAATGCCATGGAGACTGGTTATATTCTATTAAAGGAAAAACACACACAACTCTTTATAACACTCAGTATGGTGCCAAGGGAGATTTCCTGCCTAAAATTTATGAGAGACTGTTCGTAGAAAAGTCTGTCCCGGTTCACACCCTCCCTTATCTTATGCATTGTCTTATCCCAGAGAAGAAATGCTGCACAATGTAAATAATAAATTCAGATGGCAGAAGTCTGACAGGAATTATTTTTATATTATATAATATAACAATACCCTGTGTTTAAAATGAAATAGTCTGGAAGGAAGACAGTAGAATATTGTTAAAAGATTTTTAATATTTCTCCTTTCTTGGTATTAGTAAGAGAGACTTGTGATGTTAGATAATTCTGCTGCTCTCTTTTGACTTTCTGATTCTTGTGTAATTTTTATGGTATGTGTATGTATACACACACACTGTAACACACATAAGAATGCAAGTATGTGTGTTATATATATTGTATATATTCATATATTATATTTGTGTTTCATTCTTTCACAAATGAAAAATAAGTTTTTAACTACTTTGTGAGAAATACTAATAGAATGCTTAGATGAAAGAGAAGGCCAAAAAAATAATAGAAGAGAAAGAGAACAGGCAATCTGAACCAAGGAAGGGACTTAGGTATATTTACTACTAGGTACTAAAAAGGGGAGGATACATTTACAGGCACAGAGTTTCATAGTCCCTTAATGCCAGGTAAGTTTCATTTGCATTTCGCTTCCTTTTCTATAGTTCTTCACAAACCTATTTATTGACATGAGGTCATTCCAAAGTGTTTTGTTCATAACATAAATGTGTAATGTGTCACTGTGATGACTTTGCCAGATATTCCACCAGAGAGCGATTTGTTTTTCAGAATCTGCCCTTGAAGAAGATTCCATGCAAAGCCAGCGCACCCTCAGGATCCTTTTTCGCCCGAGACAACACAGCAAATTTCTTATCCTGGTGCCGAGATTTAGGGGTAGATGAAACATGTCTGTTTGAGTCGGAAGGTTTGGGTATGTATTTTCTTCAGAATTTTAGCTGATAAAGTATTCAAGTTATTTTGTCTTTGTCCGTATGACTTTCAGAACTAACTTTTGTGTGTGATGTCATTTCACAGATTAACTTTAAAAAATTTATAGTTGGAAAAACAATTTGCAGATTTGTCATAAACTTGTCTTTGAAGGTCGAAAGATGCATGTCCTCTTGCGATTGGTCACCTTATGCATGAGAGAATAGGAACATAAGGAGCACAATTCTTTCCAAGCTAAAAACAAGCTTCTACAGTGCAAAATAGGGCCATAGGGTTCAATTTTACCACCTGGCTCCAGCCTGGACTGGAGAGGTGGCTATATGTGCTCCAGCCAGCCATCAAGAGCACTATTGTCTTTTCACCTCTACAAAAATATGAAAGCACCATCTCCCATAAATTTATCTTTGTTGAAACTGAAGTTTGTTTATCTATGTATTTATCTATTTTTTAGTGAGTTCAAAATCAGGCAAGCAAGCAGAAGATTGGGGTAATTGCAAATGATAAAATAGAAGATAGATACCTTAGTGCCTAGGCCTACCCAGATAATTGTAGTTTTCTGTCTTATTTTATTTTATGATCAAATTTTGGCAAATCCACTTCCAGACCATAGAACGAGCTTTTGTATTTCCTTGAGAAAAAGCATACATGTTCAGTGTTTTGACATACTTGATACCCTACCATTAAATGTTCAAATCTCCTATATAGGCGCCACTCCAGTACAGCTCTAATGTGAAGAATGTTGGAATTACAGTCCCATTCTAGTGAAATAGAACTAAGTAAAAAAGGAGACATCTTTGGTGAGAGAGAGGAGAAGCTTTTGTTCTTTAGCCTGAGGCTTTAAAAAAATCAATTCACAATACCAGATAATATCAAATATTAACATTAAAGTAAGCTGAGCATCCTTCAGAGAGAACAAGTATACAAATTGCCTTCCAAACAGTCAGAATACCCTCTGCCCCAGGCCTCAGAAAGCAATATTCCCCTGCCGCACATAGGAAATTGATGGTAACAGCTAAAATCTTACTCATCTTATATGCTTAAGGAAATTTGTATTTGTTCCAAGAGGAGGAGTTGATGTGATATGGGAAAAGATTGTCATCAAATTTCTGAGAATTCTCTCAGCAGAGAAGAGAATTACATGAATTTAGAGTAGGAGAACATTTTATACCGGAAGGAAAAATAAACCAGAATAATTGCACGGTAGCATACGATATACGATAGTGTGCTCCTTGCATGCTGATTATGTAAATGGGCTTTGAGTGTTCTTACCATATTCTCACATCAAAGTAAAACAAGCTTGATAGCAGATGTGTGTGTCGTATATAACTCTTTTTTAGTCCAGTGGTAATTTTATAGATAGATTTTAACTTGCAGGTTTATAGGAAACTAGGTGAGTGGAGGATTATAGGAAGGGAGTGTGAAGGAATTATTTGCGGAAGATCTAGTGAATGTCCGCTCTTCTTGTGTGGACAGATGACATCATGGTTTATGATTCTGGATTGCCCCTGCATTGCTGAAGACCTGTAACGTGGGGAAACTGCTTTATAGTTTGTTAATTTGTTCATTGTACAGGTCTTCATTAAAGAAGTCTTTTTTCAGTGACTACTCTAGGCCAAGTGGATTACTAGAAGCTAAATGTAAATATGATCTTGTCTCCATTTTCTCACTGTCCATGAGTTCTTTTGTTGGTTGAACTAAAAAACTTTTGGTTGGAATCCGAGAAGCTTGGATGGCTTTTTAAAACCCCACTCAGGCAATAAGGAATGCATTTTGTCTTGAAACAATAAAGCCTAAAGCAACTTATATAATATTGGTGCTGGTGTATAAATACATACTCTTATGTAGCATATAGTTATGTCAAGAAGTATTTTGAGATGGCCTAGTTCTTCACCTTCTCTGAAAAAAGCTGACTTTGTAAAAGGAAAGTCCAGAATAATTTATATATAATAACTCGAGTATTTTGTTAAAATATCTTTGATTTTAACTGTCTTCTATTTTATGACTAGCTTATACCTTGCAATTAAAATGTATTTATATATCCAAGAAAATTTAATAAGACCAAGTTTTCAAGGCTATAGAAATTTTAAAATATTATTTAATCCTCTCGGTATCAAACTAAATTAAATAGTTAGGTTTTCTAGTTTGCTGCTCAGTGGAAAGATAAATTTGAAATTTCTGCTGCTCAGAATAGGAGGTGAGGTGATGTATAATAGGCCCTGTGGAGATGGAAGAAGGAGCCAATATTATAGCATTGACTTGAGGATTATTCAGAGAAAGGAAACAGCTGTGCCCATAGATGTTCATGCTAATCAAGAGGAAGGACAATGAGAAATTCCATTTCCCCAAGTGGAGCCCTTTCTCCTTGGCTTTTTCTTATTATTCCCTGTGGGTGGGGAAGTGATGGGGCCCCTGATAGCCGTGGACTCTGTACTTGCAGAATTGACTTTCTCACAACAATCGCACTGTGTACTCTGCTTGATGTCTTTCCACACTTCACTTTTGAAAGGGAATTTAGGGCAAGGGTTTTTTCTTTTTTTCGCTACCTCAAGATTCCATTTCAGTAGCACACAAGATGAAGAGCATCCTTTGTGTCCCAGTGTTGTGAAGAGCAAATAAAATGAAAAGATGCCTTGATGAAGGGGAAAAATCTGTCTGAATGAATGATAAAGTAGATCACTGTACCAAGTGTGTATCAAGAGGCTTCTGTCTTTAGCAGTTCAAAGGTCTCTGCCTGCATAAAGCATTCTTATCTTCGCGGCAACTGATCTGCTGCCCTCTGTCGCAGTGGTTTTTTGTACAATTATTTGCGAGAGGATCTGGATTCACAACTCATTCAATCTGTTCTCTTTCCACAACAGCTAAAGACAAGAAATCTCCGTGGGTGGGGAAGGTATGCTAGGGATGAACTGCAGAGTATGGACAGCAGGTTATTCCTGATGCTTCTCTCATGCTTCTTGTCTTGTTGATTCTTGGCAGATAACTTCCTGTGCCGTATGATGCAATCACATGCAGGGTATAACCTGCAGTTTATCTTCTATAACATTCTTGAGAGATGTTTTTCCTTTGTGAAATGCCAGTTCTTATATCCTAAGTTCACTAATATCCTGAGTAGTTTTATAAATGAGCCAATAGAAAAATGGAGAAATGTCATGAACAGCCTATTTATAAAAGACTTAAAGAATCCAGTAAAGACATAAAAATGTTAGCTTAGTAATAGGGTAAATGCAAATAAAAACTATGAAAAATTAGCAAAGATTAAGAAAATTGTGTATTTAGTGTTGAGTATGTAAGAAAATAGGACCTCCTATACATTGCTGGAGAAAATTGGAAATTGGTATGCCTTGGAGGGCAATTTGATGTTATGTATCAAAGACCTCAGAAGTGTTCATATCCTTTTATCAAGTTGTCCTACTTCTAAAAGTTTATTTGAAGGAAATACATAGAGATAGGCACTAGAATGTCCATTGAAACATTTTTTATAAGAGTAAAAAAATGGAAATGAACTGAATCTATGACATTTGGTGGTAGCTTAAACAAACTACAGTCATCCATAGAAAGCAACCAAAAATAATATTTATAATAGTTTTGAGACTATTTAAGGATATGGGAAAATTATGATTACTATGAACATGAGGTCAAGCATTTATATCTAGTAAATAACAAAATATATTCAGAATTTGAAAGTAAGATAAATAGTAACTGGGTTGCTAAGTGATAGCATTTTCTTGTTCAATTATCTGTGAACAAACTTTAGACAGTAAACAGGTCTGGCATGTACCCTGAAACATGAATAATTAACTTTAGTTATATTAAGATACAATTTGAACCAATTTGCATAGAGAATTATTTACTGACGTAAAATTTTATACATCAGTGTAGTGTGAAGGCAGTTTCGTGTCGTTGAGGTTAACCTGACATGTCAAGTGACTGTAGAGTTGTATCCTGCTGTAGGCACAGATGACCTAGGTCTTTGTGTGCTCTGCAGAGCATCCTTGCACCTTACAGGCCTACACATGATGCTCGCCGGCAGCCCCCACTGTTCAAACATGCTAACATGTCAGTTAGGGACTGGAGGAGATTTTCTTGTTCATATCTAATTTATTAAGACTAATAATTGGTTTCACTGGATTCCTTAAAAATATGTAGGATTGTGCTTTAGGTTAAAAAGATGAACATGAATGTTTTCTTGAGTTTAAAAGTATGTAGTTTATCATTCTAAAAACAAAATATTTCCCCAATAATTATTTTAAAAGAAATAAACTTTTAATTGTGGAGTAAAGAAAAAAATGTTTAGAAGGCTCTAGGTATGAAAGCATTTCTGTTTTCAGTGTGACAGAGATGTAAAAGTTATGAGACTGTATTAGTCAATATTCTTCCTAACAGTAAATATAATAATTTTTCAAAGGTTAAATACTTTAATAACCACTTTTCTAAAATAATGCTGAATATTTTGTTATGAATTATTTTTATTATTTAAATTAAGACCAGAAATCTATGATTTATTCTCAATCTCAAAAAATTTTAAGTTATGAGTCCTAAAATGTATGCTCTTATAGGAATTTTTTCTAAGATATTTTAAGTAAGAAACTGTTTCCTTCAGTTAATGATATTCGTGTGTGGTGGATTTATTATTTGTAATTTACTTTAGCACATGAATTTAGAAGTTGTCAAGTTAGTTTAATTTTTTTCCCAAAGCCTTGTTTATTTTGCTTTGTTTATATGCATTCTGGTGACCTGGGAGATGGGGAAAAAAAGGATGGGGGGAAATACTTTAAAAATGCATAATTTTTCCTTGCTGTAATTGTGTCAATATCATTATGTTATTGGATGATTATAGGATTTGGAGGCCAATGACTATTCTTCATCTATTTCTCTGGGAAAGAATCTACTCAGCAAGAAAAGGGTTTGCTAACTGCTGTGCTAGCATGCAAATGTGTGTGATTTGTTGTTTTTTTTTTTTTTTTTTCTGTGTTCGTGTGTGCT